AGGAAAAGAGAAAAAGTTCCAAATGTTCAAAGACCTCACCTTCCTGATTGTAAGAGCTAGATTTTTTGTCACCCAGGAGGACCCTAGGTCAAAGGTAGCTTGCACATCATCCTTGTGCATGAATTGGTGGAGCCAGGTTATTGCTTCATCTATATTATTTTACATTGTTGACGGTGTAGCTATTGAATCCACATGAGAGGTTGGAGTGGTTGAAGCATCAGTAACATCTGAAGTCTTGTCCTTACCTTTATCTAGTAAAGAGGCAAGGGGAGCTTTAGTCAAAAGGACCTCAGGGAGAGGGTCCACCAATTGAAGAGTAGCGGCAAGGTTGGCACCATCCTCTAAAATAACGTTGGAGCTCAGAGGAGACACTTGCAAGGTGGTGGAGCTCGGGGATGGCCATTTGCCTCTAGAGAAGGATAACCTAGGCCTCTTGAGAAGAGGAGGACTGGCTTTGGAAGCTCTTCTGGCTGCAACTTCTTGAAGGGCCTTTTTATTGACTGGTTTGGGAGCTATAACTAGAAAAAGAAGGGATACGAGTTAAAGCATGTCCAAGCAAGAATAAATTGCGGCATTGTGAAACTATATCTTTAGAGGAGACTACAACAATATGAGGATCAGAGTTAGTTGGAGAAGGACTCAACCAAAACTCAAAAAGCGTTTGATTATTTATAAGGACGGAGAGATCTTATGTGGGAGTAGTCGAGGGCTTTCTTGACTTTGAGTTTCAATTCGGGGGGCAAAGAGTTTGGTTTATCTGCATTTCATTCGAAAAGATTAGAAGGTCAAAATTCAGCAAAATTTGCATGTTGAAATACATCAAAGAAAACCTACTTATGAAGAGAAGGGATAGGGGATCCCCATAGACAAGGAACTAGAAAAGATTTATTTTGGGCAGCCTTCGAGGGCCCAAATTCTCAATTAGGCCTAGAGACAAGGAATAATTTGTCCTTTCACTCTTTCACATTCGAAGAGTAGCCCGTTAATAAACTCGACCCTTTTCTCTTTGAAAGGTAGAACCACTCCAAACCTTGTCCAAGGCAAGGGGTAAGTTTATAGCCTTGCAGGAATTCGACAAAGGTAGGTTGGATGCCAATGCCATTAACTCTAACCCAAATGACACCTACGCCGATTAAAAATCCCTAGTTATTTGGGGTCAATTGAGCAGAAGAAAGGTTCAAAAGGTGAAGGATCTCTAATATATCTAGGCATCGGAAAACGAAGTCCACCTTCAAAGAGGGACTCGTAAAAGTAGACTTCATCGGACAAAAAGGAGTTGGCGGTTTCATTAAAAGATGGGATCCTGAGGTGTACAGAATTAGGAATCTAGTATGATGCCCCAATGATATTTTTTGGTTTCGATGACCCTGAGAGACGAAGAGCCAATTTCTTGAAGGGAGTTAGAATTCTCATTTGCCGCATCAGCTTGGGCCATTAACACTAGCATGCTTTTTATAAGGTATGTGCTTAGAATCACTTGCTATAATAGGAAATATATGGTGATTTATATATTTGAGGCTATTTATAATTAAAGAAAGGCAAAAATTGAGTACAGATTCAAGCCGAGCGCTAATAGACCTATCCACAAAAGACTCAAGATGGTCAAGATTGAAGTTCTTCCACCTAAAAAAGCAAATGTGGTAAAAGTGAAACTAAAAGGTATGACTCCATCCTATATGCTCTTGAGTGAAGAATTATAATGAAATAGGAAGATGGGAGAAGATAGAGACGAAGAGGCAAAGGTGTACCATACTTCTTTGAGCTCTCAAAGATGTGCTTGAGTAGCAAAAGAAAGAAGGTTTTATACGCTGGACCCATAATGACTCTTTGGCGGTTGTATGCGCACAACTGTCAATTCCACTTTTTCAGGTGCTAACGAACAAGTGTGTTACATGCATGACATATGTCATTCATTGGTCTGAATTAAAGGGGCAACTGATGATGATAAATTAGGCACAAGCTGAGCATGTGGGCTCGAGCTCAACACATGATGCTTGATGGGGGAGCTCTACACTCAGCAAGGACCTTAGCTTCTTGATCGTCAACACTCAAGCTTGGTAGTTCCTTTGCTTGACTCATCTTAATTAATTCAAATCAGTTGAGATATCCACGCTAAAAGGTGTCAGCTTCTGTTCCACTTTCGGCGCCGCTCCATTCAAATAACTATTGAACATCTTCCAATAGTACAATCTTCTGACCTATATAAAGGCCAAGCTTGGCATTATCTAAGTAATCCATTCATAGCTAAATACAGTTCTTTACCATCTGAGGGTCAATCGTCGTAGTCCCTCTAGCCTTCGAATTCTTTTGCTGGAAAACTCCAGCCGGTTACCAAGTCACAACTCCAACCATTCATCATGGTGAACAAATTCTGAGATCAACAACTCCCATAAATTTCCCAAATTTAGCTCTTTAACACTTTCGTATTTTCTTTCCATCTGTTACCCAAAACACTGCCAGTTGTATAATTCATAGGAATAAAGGCCTTGTTATATCCTACAAAAGCTCTGTATGTCTCCACAAGTAAGGGAACACATTTTCGTAGAATTACCTAATCCAAACCTAACTCCCTAAAAGCTCTATACCATTACTACACGTGTAAAGTAAAATGGCAATGAAAGAAAAGGAGGTCAACACTCTCACTACATCTCCTACATCTCCTACATCTAACACACCATGGAGGTGATAAACAAGCATAAGGCCTTCTCCTCGACAACTAGTCACAAGTAAATAAAGACCTGCACTTTTACAAGGTAATGAGAATAGGTGTTGGGGCAGGTTGAAGAGGGATGGTAATGAGAGTTGGCTTAGGCTTACTTCTATGGGGTCTGCCTTTCATTGAATTGAATTTTAGTGAGGGTTGTAGGGTAAGGGAGGCTGACAACTATGGACGGCTAAGTCGGGAAAGTCGCTGTTGAGAATGCTACATGTGGGGCCTTACTAGTGAATGGTGTAGGCATTTTAACTCAAATGGTTGCATAATGTTTGAAAATAGGAGTGTCAATCATCAAGTAATGAACCAGAGAAAGATTTAGATGAAAATGACATTGAAGAATGAAGAGTTCACACCTTTCTATTAGGAGTTCCACAATCTCCCTTTCATATTTTTTGAAAAATTAAAGTTGCACCCACCTGAGAGGAAGGAGAGCAAATCATTCCAGAAATGGGAGATTGTATTTTGCATGTTAACAAATTTTTCTTGAAAAGTGGGGGCTGCAAATGAAGAGATAGTGTTCATTGTGACAGTGATGTTGCTTCTAACAAATAATTTGTAATCACATCGAGAACAAACTGAAAATGTGCAAGCCTGAAAATCCGAAGATGTTTTTATTCTCTTTAAGCATATGGTATAAATATTGATATCAAGTCATAGAAGGTGTAGACTGCTGTCTAAGAAAATCTTTTTCCTCTATTAATAGTGAAAACATGATCACTTTTTGGCATACTAAGAGGAAAGATTATATGGTGAAGTTAAATAGGAGTCAACATTTCCAACTTTTTTATTTATCTTAGCTAGTCAAGCCACATAACATTTAAATAAACCACTTATTGTAATTATTTCAAATATTGTTGCTCCATTTATTTTACTAGTTGCAAGATTACAATACTTGAAAAATAAATAAAATTTTGATGTATTCAAAAATTCACTTGGGATAAATAATAATAAAGGAAGTAAAGAATGATCTTGAGTTGCCTATTGTGTTGTCGTAAGACCAATTATTTTGGTTATGGCTACTTGACCGGCTTTATGTAAACAACTTTGCACGCATATGGGAGCAAAGTTGCAATAAGGTATCGAGAGGGCTATCATAGTCAGGTGCAAAGCAATTGCCTCTATTTGTTAAGTATCCCTCTTCCTATTTAGGGAGTCAAGAAAAATGGCTTGATGAGGGTGGATGAGGNCGGCTAAGTCGGGAAAGTCGCTGTTGAGAATGCTACATGTGGGGCCTTACTAGTGAATGGTGTAGGCATTTTAACTCAAATGGTTGCATAATGTTTGAAAATAGGAGTGTCAATCATCAAGTAATGAACCAGAGAAAGATTTAGATGAAAATGACATTGAAGAATGAAGAGTTCACACCTTTCTATTAGGAGTTCCACAATCTCCCTTTCATATTTTTTGAAAAATTAAAGTTGCACCCACCTGAGAGGAAGGAGAGCAAATCATTCCAGAAATGGGAGATTGTATTTTGCATGTTAACAAATTTTTCTTGAAAAGTGGGGGCTGCAAATGAAGAGATAGTGTTCATTGTGACAGTGATGTTGCTTCTAACAAATAATTTGTAATCACATCGAGAACAAACTGAAAATGTGCAAGCCTGAAAATCCGAAGATGTTTTTATTCTCTTTAAGCATATGGTATAAATATTGATATCAAGTCATAGAAGGTGTAGACTGCTGTCTAAGAAAATCTTTTTCCTCTATTAATAGTGAAAACATGATCACTTTTTGGCATACTAAGAGGAAAGATTATATGGTGAAGTTAAATAGGAGTCAACATTTCCAACTTTTTTATTTATCTTAGCTAGTCAAGCCACATAACATTTAAATAAACCACTTATTGTAATTATTTCAAATATTGTTGCTCCATTTATTTTACTAGTTGCAAGATTACAATACTTGAAAAATAAATAAAATTTTGATGTATTCAAAAATTCACTTGGGATAAATAATAATAAAGGAAGTAAAGAATGATCTTGAGTTGCCTATTGTGTTGTCGTAAGACCAATTATTTTGGTTATGGCTACTTGACCGGCTTTATGTAAACAACTTTGCACGCATATGGGAGCAAAGTTGCAATAAGGTATCGAGAGGGCTATCATAGTCAGGTGCAAAGCAATTGCCTCTATTTGTTAAGTATCCCTCTTCCTATTTAGGGAGTCAAGAAAAATGGCTTGATGAGGGTGGATGAGGAAGCAGGAGCAAGAAAACCAATAATCTCTTTTCTTGTCCTTCTACTTAAGGGGCAAAGAGAAGCGCTTTTTCTATTGAGAAAACGAATGGTCAGCGTGAATGTTCAAGACTTAGCTGAGCATTAGTGATGCTAGATTGTCACAGTGAGGGACTTCGAGTTAGCAAACGCAGTAGTAGGGCCGAAACCCTATTATAATGCCGAGCCAAGGACACCCCGCCTTATCTATAGAAGCAGTCACTTGAGTTCTAGAAGAGTGAAAGGGTCACCACTACTAAGGATCTCCCACCTAATCTTAGATAGGTCGTCTGAGGGTTCGCCGCTGTTCATTGCTGTGGTTACACACTAGGCTATCCTTTTCTGAAAGCTCCGCGGGACCACCTACCACTACTCTTCAGCCAGAGAGGTTTTTCGCACAAAAACGCCGGGGCGTAGGCTCCCGAAGAGAGAAGCCCCACGAATGTTAGATACAAAGCCCTGCACCTCATTAAGATCATATTAGCATACCCTCCAGGGTTGTGTTGACCTTGTTGGGTAACTTTGATTGGTGCTTATTGATGTGCCAATGTATGCGTCAGACATATATAGAAGATAATCACAGTGATATTGTGTATGGAATCATTATTTTCACGTGCATTTTGGCTGGTATAGAAGAGCCTCATTTGGGCTTAAGATCCTGTCAATGAAATATTATATTAAAGAACACTTGCTTAGGATGGAATCTAGACAGTAGGTGGACTGTTGATGTCTATTTTGTTTTGCTCTGCATACAGTAAATGTGACATTGCCAATGGCATCAAAATGATTCCTCTTTTTAATCTATTTTCTCTGACTAACAATCTACAGCAAATATTTTCAGCACTTTCTACCTACAGTGATTGTTCCACCTTCTGCACCTATAATTTTGATATGTGATGTTGTGTTGTGAAATATGCGCTTTGAGCAAAGTGTGCTGGAGTTAGTTTTTTAGCAATATTCTTGCAAGTGCTTAGACTACGTATTGCTTAAGGAGAACTTCAATTGAGTTTTTTCATGAAATCAGTTCTTGTGCATCTGTAGGATTCTTTGGTTGTGTGCCGCCTTAGGAAGAACATCAAGTTCCATTTAAGTGACACTCCAAGAAAGGGTTCTCTGAATAGAAGGCATTTATCAACTGGAAATGATTTTAATTTTGCTTCAGCTGCTGTTAATAATGAACAAATGACAGGGTTTGAAGGAAGTAAGGCTGTTGATTGCTGTTTAAAGGAGTGTAGCACCAGTTATAATTCTCTTTCAGTTGGGCAGGTTGATTCTGGTTCTGAATCTGAGCAGAGACTAACTAATGAATTTTCTCAGCATGATTCTTCCAGCCACCAGGTCAGTTCCTTTCCTCTTATTTACTTTCTTGCTTCCCAGGATAGAAAATGTTTAGAATTTTTTACTACACTTCTAGTTCCTTCCCAGCATAACCTTATGCTTGGAACTAATCATAATGCAATTTATTAAAGAAGCTGGCCTTCAGTATTTTAGATTGCCTTCAGTTTTTTGGATTAATGATATTCAGTCTCGCAGGACCAGTTGCTTGTTCCCAACTTACTGGAATGCATGTCTAGTCCATATTTTCTGAATTTCTGTACACATGTATTGCAGGATTGTGACGATGAAGATGATTGTTTTGCTGAGATAATGAAAGACGACATAATCAAGCTTGATGAATCTTCACTACCTGGAACTCCTCTCCTGCCAATGGTTGGCAGTTTGTCTGAGACTGAGTCAAAGTCAAAGCAGCCAGTGCAAGCAATCATGTCACGTGTGCTTCCTTTCCAGGGCACAGCAAACCGAAGACTTAGATTGAACAGACGAAGAGCAAAATATTACCATCCAGAGCCATCAAAAGCATTTGGAATCGTTAATGACAACTACACTGCTGAGGGAATCATTCCAAACTCGCAGCAATCAAAAAGATGTTCGATTAGTATATTTTCTGCTACAATGGTCAATCTTCGCTTTGTGTCTGTATTTTTGGTTATCCTGACTTTGCTGGTATTGTTTCTCTGCTTGTTGCACGGGTCCTGGAAACTTTAACAGGTTCGTGCATGTCATCGTCTCCTAAGAAGCACACCCTGTTAATGTCACACTGGTATGTTTTCTTCTCACTATGTTGCAATGACAGGACAGTAGCTTAAATTTGTTGTCAACAAAAGCAACTTGAGGCATTTCACAGGATTGAAATGAGCTACCAGTTGGGAAGCTGTTTAATAGGCTGGGCCTATCATAATTTGCTTTGTTTCTGGCCCAAATTTAAAAGTAAAGATTCATATGTATATACAGAGTTATGATTAAGACAATTTTTTTGGTGGGTAAAGGACAGTAATTTAATTATACATCCCGTAAAAGTATTTTTTTTTTTTTTTGGGGAGGGGGAGTGGGAGGGGGATGGGGGAGGGGGTTTGAATTTTTGATCTCAAGAAGACAGTTTTCATAAGGTAAGAAATACTATTGGACTAAAGTTCCATTGATGCGTATAAGTTAGGGTACATAACACCCGTAAAATTGGCCATAAGTTGGTAATTGATGTTGTACAAAGAAAAGCTATAAATACAGAAGTTCAGGGGACAGTGGTCCCTTCTTTGCCATGATGTCTGAACATCCATTTGTTTCCCGTTTCTCCAGTTTGAAGTGCAGCTCCTAAATTTGGGTCATCAGCTACCTGCAATCGTTAATCATGGAATTGTGATGGTGGTCTCGTGTTGGGGCAGTCGATTAGGTCAACCACAAGTTGTGCATCCTCGTTGACTTCCAATTTGCAGGGCCCATGTTACAGTGCAATCTGAAGGCCTTGCCTTGGTGTCCAAAATTCAGCTGCCAGACTAGTAGTAATTACGATGTCGGCTTGGAAGCGGAAAATTATTTGTCCATACTCGGCATAGAACCCCTGCTCCTACTGGGCCTGAGGTTCCTTGGGCTGTCACATCTATATTGCGTTTGGGCCAACCATCTATTGGCGGCATTGTTATAAGAACCAGATTAAACCGACATGTCAACCGATAAACCAGTGAATCACACCCTAAATCGGTCTGGTTCATTGATTAGGTCGCTTGTGCAGATGAATCAAGAAAAAATCATAAAATCGGCCAATTTTTTAAAATACCCGAGAACAAAACTGGTATATAAACTCGGGCGGTTCAAACTTTAATTGATTTTGATGGGCTCAGTCCAGATCAGGTCCAACTCAAAAATTCAGACTAGGTTATGATCAAATATACGGGCCATGCCCATCACAAGATCAATGATCAACCTTGTCATCGTGAGAGAGACAGTCTACGACTATCACACAANCGGTATATAAACTCGGGCGGTTCAAACTTTAATTGATTTTGATGGGCTCAGTCCAGATCAGGTCCAACTCAAAAATTCAAACTAGGTTATGATCAAATATACGGGCCATGCCCATCACAAGATCAATGATCAACCTTGTCATCGTGAGAGAGACAGTCTACGACTATCACACAAGGTCTCTGTGGGGCGTAATCATCAGATGCATGATGCCACCTCCACATAATTGCCACGTCTATTACGCGAATGACATTATTTTCACGGAACTGTCTTGCCGGTAAAAAGAATGATGCTTCAATCTGTTAGGTGCCTATAAATTATAAGTCTCATCTATAAAAGGGGGGCAAGATTCACATTTGAGCACTCTATACTCCTTGAGCAATAAAATACTTGGGCCAACATAGTTTTTTATAGTGGAGTAGGTCATCTCAATCGAACCACTATTTGTGTTTGTTTGTGTTGAGTCTCCGTCTAAATTCCTACATNCTATAAAAGGGGGGCAAGATTCACATCTAAGCACTCTATACTCCTTGAGCAATAAAACACTTGGGCCAACATAGTTTTTTATAGTGGAGTAGGTCATGTCAATCGAACCACTATTTGTGTTTGTTTGTGTTGAGTCTCCGTCTAAATTCCTACATTAAATGCTTAACATGTGGTGCATAAACCCATTTTGTGCATCATAAAATTATAAAGGTAAAAAACCGTTATAAGATATAATATTTTAGTTAAATATAAAGGGATATTTATACACAACCCAGCCCAGGCCCAAGCTTAGTCTATTCCTCTTACTCAGCGAGGCCAGCCACATTTAAAAGCTTCAGCCTGTTAGATATCACAGATGGCCAGATTTCCTTCTTAAATAGTCTTTCATAAGCCTTCCGATGTGGGACTAGCAGCTGTGATTTCTTTAGACTTCTTCCCTTCATATATTAGTTTTGTTTAAACTTACCTCTTATGTTTCTTCCGTTTCAATATATGCTTTTGGATTTTTTATTTAGATGTTATAAATTGATTAAGAAAATTAATAAATTATGAATATCTTTTGTGTTTTTATTTAATCTACTATTACATAAAATATGTTATTTTTATAATTATTCCAACTTTTTTAGCAAATCGTTTTTATTAGTTATTATTTCTATTTTTATTATACGATCGGTCTGACTAGTTGATCTAACGGTTGAACCAGTGACTTATTGATCCAGTCTCTTTGTCGAGTCAATATTTAGTCCGATTCTGATAACTATGATTGGCGGTTTCCAACCATGCAACTTTTCTAATTTTGAGGCCTTGGTGTTGGTTTGATCCAAGGAATAATAATCATTGGCGTAAGTTAGTTTGTGAAGTTTTAGGGTTTAGAAAGGAAGAAAACAACTTTGAGAAGAGAGAGAGAGGCAAGAATGTGTCAAGGGTTGTGTCTTACCAAACAACTAATTCTAGCTTTTATATATAAACACAAGTCCTAAAATGTCCTTAAGTTATATATAAAGCATAACATAACACTCTCTCTTAAGTTGGTGAATAGATATTCCGCATGCCCAACTTGAAAACAATAGGGTGAAAATCTTGTCACTAAGTCCTTTAGTGGAAATATCTGTCAGTTGCTCTTTTGATTTCACTAACGACATTCGAATCAAACCCTTTTCAGCTTTTTTTGATGAAGTGTGGATCAATCTAACATGTTTAATTATGATGGGCGCGGTCCAAACCAGTCCCAAATCACAAATGCAGACCAGGGCCAAGTCACAGATCCAGGTCAGGCCCATATCACAGATCTAGGCTAGGCCCAGGTCACAGATGCAGACTAACAAATGCTCATCACAATTTCAATTGGGCCAAGCATACCGCCTTGGAAGAATAGTTTATCACTAGCACAAGTGGAGATCTTCATCTTTGGAAGGGAATCGTGGAGCGCAGTCATCGGGGTGTGTGTTGCTAATCACCTCGCCCATTGCGAGGATGATGCTGGCCCCACGGAATCACCCTGCTCCACATAATGGCAGCTCAATCAAGGCTCCCTCGGAGCCCCTTGTGAAATGCTACTCACCTATATGCCTAAATATGGGGGAGATCACACAAATCTCAGCACTCTACCCACCTTTGAGTAATTAGATTCTCCGGTTGTCATAGTCATTCTTCATGGAGTAAGTCACTTAGATCGAACCACCTAAGCTGTGTTTTTTACTGTGTTGAGCATATCCCATCACCTACACCATTATATCTTTGATTTATTTTACATAAACACATTTGTGCATCATCAGTTTGGAGCCATATATGGGAATGACTTAGTTTTCACCCGACTGTATTCTCATTTTTGTGGCCATTATGACTAGAGCCTTGAATTAAAAAAAAGAAAATGATGATCAACCACATCAGGATGAGGTCCTACCCCCGTCGTCAAATCCTGAAATACAGCTACGAGAGACTATGTAGTTGTTGGTAAACCAAAACCAATAAATCCTCCAATTGATGCTCGTTGGGCACCTAGGAGCTGGGCCCCAACAGCCAGGAGGGGCAGTGATTAGTAGTCAAAATTAGCATATTTCTATACCCCTTTAAAACTAATTATACTTTGATAGAGTTTAAATGATGACATTTCAGGTCATAAATTGTACAAGGGACCATGCAACACCAGCATATTCTAGAGCAAAATTGGAACAGCTTAGACGAAGCCAAGAACATTTGAATGCCAGTCAACATTCAAATGTTACTTTAAATCAAGTGAAGACTAGACTGTTGAGACATGACATGTTGCAGCCAAGAAGGAAGACCTTGAGGTACTTGAGTACCATGTTCGAATGCCAACTCATGTTCAAACGTCCACTTGAATNCAGACTGTTGAGACATGACATGTTGCAGCCAAGAAGGAAGACCCTGAGGTACTTGAGTACCATGTTCGAATGCCAACTCATGTTCAAACGTCCACTTGAATTGATTGAGGACCAGGATCATGAGTGCAAAACGCGAAGATGTGCATGGAGTGTGGAAATAGGTTTTCACAGAAGACCATATGCCACTTGAGTGAGAAGGTCAGACGCCATCTAGCATTCGAATGCCCATAAAGCAAAGACAGAAGAAACATTCGAATGTCAGACAACGTTCGAACGACCACAAAGCAAAAACAAAAATAACATTCGAACGTTCTCCACATACAGGCTGCAGAATGGTTGATCTTTTCTTTAGACATTGGGACTTTCACTTGGACTTTGAATGCCTTGTACTAGTCCTCCACACTAATTTTCTTCCTCCTCCTTGCCTATAAATATTACCCTTGTTGGAGCTTCAAAAGGGAGAGCTTGTGTAAAACCCAGGTAAATTTAAACTTTTTATGAAAAAAGGGTAAAACAATAATTTGCCACTACAGTACAAGCTGTAAACTTGAATTTTTTTAGAACTTGGATGATAAAATGGACCTCACCATTGGATTCCTCTTGCAAAATCTAGCTACCCTGTCAAATTTCATCGAATTCTGAGATAGTCAGATTTTTCATATTTTACGAGGCGGTCGAGTCTCGGGTGACCTAAAAATTAGATTTTTAATAAAATTTTAAAATTTGGAAAAATTTGAGTCAAGTTAAAAATAAAAATATTTTGAACTTGCATCATAACGAAATTTAATCGTTTCGGGGCGAAAATAGACTCGGTAAAAGAGGGTTGTGTAGCGCAATAAGAACCAAGTGGTTAAGGAGTATAAAAAGGGGAGAAATATCAGATTTCTCCCCATTTTGTTTATCTGGTTCTAACGTGAG